CAGGGCTACATGTAGAAGGAAGCAAGTGACAGACAGAGCTGTGCATGTCAATAAACAACAGATTAGATCTAAGCTCTGCAGTCCTGCCATTTCAGTCTTGAAAGGTGGTGGTCAATTAACAGAAGGAGAAGGTACCATAAATATTCCCATCATCAATGATAGGAGAGCCCAACACAACAGTGCAGAAAATAAGGCTGAAGCATTTGCAACCATCTTCAGTCAGCAGTGCCAAGAAAGTAATGCATCTCGAGCTCTTCCAGAGGCCCCGAGCAGCACAGATACCACTCCACGTGATATCAAGAAGCAGCAGAAGGCATTGCACATTGCAAGGGTTCAATGAAGAGTGCAGGAGGGTGTACCAGGAGCAGCACTATGCAGAGGTGCTAAAATGAGGTGTCACAGAAATAGAAATTACTGGAGAAACTCAGCAGGCCTGGCAGCATCTGTCAGAAGAAAGCACTTCAATTCTGGTGACTCTTCATCAGAAAATGAAGTATCAGTCTGGTGATGCTACAGGACTATTTGTGTACCAAACAGTATAGGCAGCAAGTGATAAACAGAGTGAAGTGATTCAGTAACTAATAAATCAGATTTAAGATCCGCTGTCATGCCACACCCAGTTACAAATGGAGAGATGGGCAATTAAACAACTCACTGGAGGAGGAGGCTACACAATTATCCCCATTCTCCATAATGTGGGACAACACTTGCAACAAGCCAGAAGTGCCAATCCATCCCACCCATCTCCAGTGGTCCCAGCATCAATCAAATTTCCTTCACATGATATCGAGAAATGGCTGGAGGCTATGGCTACTGGAAAGGCTATGGATCCTGACAATATTCCAGCTTACGTTCTGAATGTGTTCCAGACCTTGCCAATCTCCTAGCCAACAGAGATAGTAAGAACTGCCGATGCTGGAGTCTGAGATAACACATTGTGGAGCTGGATGAACACAGCAGGCCAGGCAGCATCAGGGGAGCAGGGAAACTCATGTTTCGGGTCTGGACCCTTCTTCAGAAATGGGGGAGGGGAAGGGGGCTCTGAAATAAATAGAGAGGGGGGCAGTGATAGCAGGCGGATAGTGTGGGAGAGAAGACAGACAGGTCAAGGCGTCAGGGACGAGATGGGCTGTTCTTGGGATGAGGTCGGGGGTCGGGAGATTTTGAAGCTTGTAAAGCTTGTAAAATCTCCTCACCCCCGACCTCATCACAAGATCAGCCCGTCTCGTCCCCGATTCCTTGACCTGTCCGTCTTCTCTCCCACCTACCCGCCTCTCCCACCTCACCGACCAACCCCCATCCCAACTTCTTACCTAGACTCACCTTTACTGGCTTCATCCCCACCTCCTTGACCTGTCCGTCTTCTCTCCACCTATCTGCTCCTCTATCCACCTTCTATCATCGCCTCCCCCACTCTATATTTATTTCAGAACCCCCTTCCCCTCTCCCATTTCTGAAGAAGGGCCCAGACCCGAAACATCAGCTTCCCTGCTCCTCTGATGTTGCTTGGCCTGCTGTGTTCATCCAGCTCCACACCTTGTTATCTCAGACTCCAGCATCGGCAGTTCCTACTATCTCTGAGCATCTTTTCAGGTGATGTTTTTTGGGAATGTTTTGATATATCTGGGGACATCTTGAGCAAACAAAAAGAAATAACTTGCAGTTACATAGCACCTTTCACAGTCTCAGAATGTCCAAAGTCCTTTACAGTCAATTAAATGTTTTTAGAATTGTAGTAATCGTTATGTAGGGAAGCATCGGGCAGTCTACTTGCATGCAGCATGCACCCATGCAAAGCAATTAAATAATCATCAACTAATCCACACCTAAGATGTTTGTTGAAAGTTACATTTTGGCCTGGTCACAGCACAGTACTCTCTGGCTGTTCAAAAAGAGCCACGAGATGTTTACAATCCAGCTGAGAAGGCAGAAAAAGCCTTGGTTTCACATCTAATCTGAAAGATGACACCTTTGGTAATGTAGAACTCCTGCAGCTGGAGTTATGATCCTGACTCAGAGTCGAGAGTGCAATGAAATATGGCAAGGCTGCCCAGTACATTGAGAGCATTGGGGGTATTTATGAGGAGTTTCCTGTAAAATCATTGACATTTTCAGGATTTCTCAGGAGTCAATCGATATTTGCATGGTGAATCCCAAAGTGAAAAGCTTGTAATATGCCAATACAGAAAATGAAAGAAATCCTCATTCATCGACAATGGAGACTTCAAAAGAGGCAGTGCACCATCTCTGTTCCTCAAGCTTTCAAAACCAGCAAATGTGATTTGATTTTCATTGTTTTTTTCCTGCTTGGAAGATGCTTGGAGTAAAAGTTTGGCACGGGCTCATTTGAGCTTTGTTGTCCAAATGGTGGATGAACCCTAAATTTATTTTCTTTTTATTTATTCATGCAATGTAGGTGTTGCTGGGGACATTAACATTTGGTGCTCATCACTAATTGCCCTAAAAAGGTATTGGTGCATCACTTTCTGCAGGAGCTCTTGTGGTATAGTGGGTAATATTACTGCTCTTTGAGCTGAAAGCTCTCAGTTCAAGTCCCACTCCAGGGCCTGGGGGTCATAGTCAATGGTCAAACAGGTCAGGTATGAGCCTGTAAATGCTTCTATGGCTAGATGGAAACAATAGGGGAGTCCCTCTTTTGGTGAGAGCTGTGTAACAGCCCTCCTAGCTCGTTCTCTGTGGCAAGTGCCCTCTTTATTTCAACTGCTACTTCCTTGACCTACTACTGTCCATATTGTTTAGGCTTTTGACCCAGTGATAGTGAAGGAAAGCCCATGTAGTTCAGAACTGAGAAAGGGTCACTCAACCCGAAACGTTAACTCTGACTTCTCTCCACAGATGCTGCCAGACCTGCTGAGCCTTTCCAGCAATTTCTGTTTTCGTTTCTGATTTACTGCAGTTCTTTCAGGTTTTATTTTGGCCGTATTTCAATGTTGGCCATGTTGTGCATTTAACATTCTGCTTAATGGGTGGCCTTTTGTACCTCCATTGTATTTACTTATCATTACTGTTTTTGTTTTAGTTCTTTGTGGATGTGGCTGGTCCAGCATTATTGCCTATCCCTGGCTGGCTTCCAGAAGATGGTGGTGTGTTGCCTTCACACCACTATGCTGTTAGGAAGATTTTGACTCAGTAATAGTGAAGGAGCAGTGATATATTTCTAAGTCAGGATGAAGGAGGATGATCAACTATGTACATCACATAAGATATCCATCCAATATGTTGAAAACGCACATTATATAGTGTCCATGAATAATATCCACAGGTTAGAGTAATTGGAAGAAGGACTGGGAGAAGTTGATGACTACACAGTCATAGAGTCATACAGCACGGAAATGGACCCTTTGGTCCAACACGTCCATGCCGACCAGGTTTCCCAAAATAAACTAGTCCCATTGGCCCATAATCCCTCTATACCTTGCCTATTCATGTACCTGTCCAATTTTTATTTAAATGTTGTTATTGTACCCGCCTCTATCACTTCCTCTGGCAGATCATGCCATACATGCACTACCCTCTGTGTGAAAAAGTCACCCCTTGGGTCCCTTTTAAATCTTTCCCCTGTCTCCTTAAACCTATGCCCCTCTAGTTTTGAACTCCCCTACCCTGGGTTACCCTGAAAGACCTTGGCTATTCACCTTATCCATGCCCATCCTGATTTTATAAACCTCTATAAGGTCACCCCTCAGCATTCAACATTCCAGTACATTTTTCACCCAGAGAGTGGTAGGGATCTGGAACTCCCTGTCTGGAAGGGTGGTAGAGGCAGAAACCCTAATTTGAAAAAGAAAATTGGAATTCTGCTCGAAAGGATTTTTTTTACTCAGCTAGCACACAGTCAAGGGGCAGAACAGCCTCCTCCTGTCGGGTAAATACTTGTCTGTCACAGCTTGGGACTGCAAAGTGCTGCAATAGAGTAAGGCAAACGCCGGAGAGAGGAACTTGGTGCAGAAGGGGTTAAATAAATGACAATTTCATTCGCCGTGAATCAGGATCTCGTCACAGGGATTGTGAGGGAGAGAGATTGTTCCCTGTTCAGTACTGATGCTGCAAACAGCTTTGCCTTGGCATCAGGAGAGAAGCGTTTTCTTTTTCTCCCTCTCTCTCTCTTATCCTCTCCTTGCAATTGAAGGTGGTTAAAACACAAGACGCGTTGAAAACGGGGAGGCATTGCCCCATCCTGGATTACTCTCGGGCCGGCCGTAGAGGGAGGAGATTTTGCTGAGGAACGAGCAGCTAGCTGGGGGTCGCGGGGAGAAAGGGAAGTAAGTGATGGCCACTGCTTGGAGGATGGAGCTGATGCAAAGTACAAAACACAAACATTAAGGAGCTTGCAAGACTGTTTGGATCCGTTGCTGTCGCTTGCACCGGAATGAGAAAACAAGCCCCTGTCCTGGAGCATGATGGACTGAAACTAATATCGCCCAGATTGTTCGTTGCTTAAAAAACGTTGCCCAGTTTTTGCAAACCAACGGCAAAAAAAAAGCTGCCAGTTTTTTTTAAGAAAACGACCTTTGCTCAGTTTTGCAAAGGAACAGAAAAAGACAGCCCATCTTCCCGAAGAAATGAATTAACAACTTTACCTAGTTTTGCAAAACAACAAAACAATCTTGCAGTTTTGCAAAACATCAACGACGAAAAAAAGTCTTTCAGTTTTTGCAAATGAGGAAAACGAAGAAGAACCTTGCTTAGTTTTGCAAAACAGCGACAAAAAAAAATGTCAGCTTTTGCACAGGAGGAAAACAAAATGACTTTGCCCAGTTTTGCAAAAGAAAATCGACGAAAATAATTTTCTTGCAAAGGAAGAGCAAAGAAAAGATTTTGCCTATTTTTGCAAACGAGTGGGACAAAATAAAAGGAGCTGGATGGCTTTCCTGCAGCACTGATTTCAACCCAAAAGACGAAGCCAGAGCAGACACTTTGGGAATTTGGTGTGAGTGATAATGGCAGGGGGTTGGTGCACAGTCTGAGAGAAAAGAGAGATGCAGGGTTCCGCTGCAAGCGGCGAGATGGCAAACTATCGGAAGATCGGGCGGAGGGAGGTGGAGAGCCCCCTGCCTTTCGCTGACCTGCCGGCGGACACGGTGGAGATGCGGGTGAAGGAGGGCAGCAAGATCCGCAACCTGATGGGCTTCGCGCTGGCCCGCATGGAGCTGGAGGGGACGCGGAGGATAGTATTCAGCGGTTCGGGCCGGGCGGTCACCAAGACTATCACTTGCGCCGAGATAATGAAGCGGAGGCTGGGAGGGTTGCACCAGATCACCAAGCTCCGTCCGAGGAGCCTGCGGGAGACCTGGCAGAGCAGCACCGCCGGCAGTGCGGGTGCCCTCACCCTGCTCAAGACCGTTCCGTCCGTCTGCATCCTGCTATCCAAGGAGCCCCTGGACCCGGCCGAAGCCGGCTACCAGCCTCCGGTCTGCGGGCCGCCGCTGTGGCCGGAGCCGGCTGTTGGTTCCCGAACGGGGCCAGAGGAGCGAGGGCTCAGCCCGGTCAACCGGGGCATCAAGCGCCGCTCCCGGGGAAGCGACAGTAGCTGCGGGGGCGAGATGGTCCCGAAGCTCAGCAAAGGGGAACAGGCTAGTGAGAGCGCTCCTTTCCCCGGCTACACTTACCTCCCGAACCCCCAGCAGTAACACACAGACCGCTGGCACAAGTGGTAGTGCCCTTACCCCTGCACCGGGAGTGTGTGACATAGCATCTCTGATCAGGTTTATGTTTAAAAAAAAAGTCACTTTGCCATGAGGGGTCCTGTTGTGGTGCAGCGGTAGTGTTCCTGCTCCTAGACCGGTGCTCCCCCACCTCTCCCCCCATCCTTGTTGGAGTTCCACCAGCTCCACAGGGTGTGTCAGACCATCTCTGAACAGATTGAAAAAAGATCACTTTGCCATGAGGGGTACTGTTGTGGTGCAGCGGTAGTGTTCCTGCTCCTAGACCAGTACCTCCCCCTCATCCTCGTTCAGGTTCCACAACCTCTTGAGGGTGTGTCAGACCATCTGTAACTGGTTAAAAAATCACTTTGCCATGAGGAGCCCCCTGGTGTTGCAGTGGTAGTGTCCCTGCCCCTGGACCAGAGCACACCCCCCCATCCTTGTTGGAGTTCTACCAGCTCCAGAGGGTGTGTCAGACCATCTCTGAAAAGGTTAAAAAAAATCACTTTGCCACAAGGGGCCCTCTTATGGTGCAGTGATAGTGCCCCTACTCCTGGACCAGGACGGTGTTATATCATTTCTGAACAGGTTAAAAAAAATCATTTAGCCCTGAGGGCTCTCGTATTTGTGCAGTAGTAATGTCCATTTCATCTCTGAATGGGTTAAAAATATCACTTTGCCCTGATGGTCCTCTTCTGGCACAGTACTGGCCCAACCCTTGGACTGGGTGGCACTGCTCAAGTCCCACCTGCTCCAGAGATGTGTCATACCATGTCTGAACAGGTTAAAAAAATCACTTTGTTGTGAGGGCCCTCTTGTGCTACAGTGGTAGTGTTCCTATTGCTGGACCAGGTTATGTGTCATAACATCTCTGAACATGTTAAAAAAAATCACTGTCTAACAAGGGCCCTGTTGCGGTACAGTGGTAGTGTGCCTCCCCCTGGACTGGTTGGCTCGGATTCAATTCCAACTTGCTGCAGAGGTGTGTCATATCATCTCTGAACAGGTTGAAATAGAAAAGAAAATATGGCAGGGGCTCAGTGTGGCACAGTGGTAATGTCCCTACTGCTGGGCCAGGAGGCCCAGTCAAGTCCCACCTGTTCCGGAGTTGTGCTGTAACAGGAAGTTGATTTGAAATTTCTATCATATATACTAGACTGTATACCCAATCTATACAATTATAGGGCACTTTGTACACATTAGAATGCACAGAGAAAATTAATACTGTGTGTGGGTGTGTCATGATACAGTGGAGATGCATTGTTCAGTTCCTGAATGTTAGAAGGCCTTTAGAACAACAAACAAAAAGACATAAAAGAAGGGAAACTTTATTGCAACTTCAAAACCAACATGGAAACAAAGTTCCCAAAGATCGCAGACTGGGTGAGAGATATTGCAAAAAATGCGTTTGGTCCAGTTCTGAAGAGGGGTCACTCGACCCAAAACATTAACTCTGTTTCTGTCTCCACAGATGCTGCCAGACCTGCTGAGTTTTTCCGGCACTTTCTGTTTCCAGCATCTGCAGTTCTTGGGGTTTTCCTTTTCAGTTTAATTTGCCTCGTTAACCAGAAAGGTGGGTGTTTTAATTTTTGTGTTTGTCTCCCCTTATGTCTTCGGATGTGACTGGGATAAATAGGGAAACTCAGCTCTTGTTAATTAATAATTTACTTTGGAATGGAACTGGGCTCTGTTCTCCCTGGGCCCTCCTCAAATCTCGCCGTGTTTCCAGTGGATAAAAAGGATGAAACAAAGCAAAGAATTGCCCTTAATTTCCACCAAGAGCCTTTCCTCAGTGTTTGCGAGTTTTATCAATCCACCTCACTGCCTTTTTCAATTTTCCATGCTCCTAAATGTTGTACAAATTCAACTCATAAGTTCCTTTTTTTTAACGAGAGACCCCTGCGCTATCTTTTAGTTAATTTTATCCCTTTTCAGGAACTTGCCTGTTTTGTGTGTTCCCTGTCTCCCAGCGGATAGAGGCTGCTGTTTCAAATGAAGTCAATCTGTAGAGATTTATTTGCTCCACTATAACACAGAGGGATCTTGTGTTCAAATAAGAATGTGATAGAGCAAAGGTTTATTGAAAGCTCATGACTTCTATACATTGTTGTCGATGTTGACAGTGCAAAGCTTCGATTCTTTTAGACATTTCTGAGCTTAAATGGAATATAGTTTACGGGCAAAGTTCTACTAGTGACCATTCAAGCGTTGGTGCCAAGGGTTGTAACAGAAAAGGATTTTCCTGATTTAATCTTTAGAATTGTAATTATCTTAAGTCTTTCTCTTTACTAAGGAGCACCTTATCCCCCTGTTGATTAAACCATTTCTTAAAATAGAAATGAAGAATATTGGCTGATTGCACAATTTGAATTTCACTGAATTCTGCTTGTTTTATCAGGCGTTCATTCCTTCTGCGCTCTTATAGAGAGGGCGACCCTCCCTGGAGAGGGTCAGGAGGTGAATACAGCATGCATTCGAGCAAATTGACAAGGTTATAGGGAAGAAACTGAGGCCTGGGATTAAATTGGACAGTGCATGCAAAGAGTTTGCAGGAGTACGATGGGCTGATTGTCTCCCTTTCTGTGCAGTTTTATTCTAGGTTGCATTCAGCAAGCGTGAGTGCATATATGTCAGTACACTATATAAACTCAGATACCTGTAAGCCTGAGTGAGCCTTATCATGCAGTAATGATATCTACAATGGACACACAGATAAATCGTGTGCCCATGTGCATTATATATCATACAATTTGCTCTCACATCACAAACCCATGACATTTTCCATCTCCCTTAAGTTCCAAAGTAAGGACTTGAAATATTAATTCTGTTTCTTTCTTCGCATGCACTGCTAGACCTTCTGAGTTTCTCCAGCACTTAACAGCTTTTATTTCAGATCTTCAGCATTTGCAGTGCTTTGATTTAACAAGTGGGTTTGATAATGACGACTGTGATCTCCGCGGAACAAATCTCCCAAAACGCACCGAATGAACCATGTTGTGTTTGTCTGCAGCCAGTGACATGGAAACAAGACGCTTGCTATGAATTCAATTGCCCCGGGGATGCTATTTCTCAAGCTGTGCGGATAAATTTGCCCTTAGTCGCTTGTGACACAGCCAATTTTGAAACTTCAGTGACCATTTACAAACTACATGTGGGAGAGGGTCAGATGGCAGCTGCAAATTTGGTAGTGCTCATTTTTAACTTTCAAATCCAATATATTTAGCAAATAAATGAGTGAAACTAACCAATCCACTGACAGAGAGAAATTAGCATTATAACATGCTTAAATACATTTTCGTGTGTTCTTGGAAGTCATGTTACGCATAATTTTCTCAATGTAAGAATTGAATAACATTCTGAATACAAACAATATATATTAATATATAGCAGACATAATGTACAATAAATTGCATTTTTAGTGTTTTTCTCATTTATTCTTTTAATGTTGCATCAGTTCTCAATACGGCAGCTCATCACGTTTATATTAATTGTTCCATTTAGTAGAGTTTGTTTACAGAGCGAATTATTTTCCTTTCACTGCCATTGAATTTACACGTCTAAATGTTGTATGTATCATGCTGCAGTCCACAAGCTGACAAAGAGCTGAGCAGTATCTAGAATACAGACATTACTGGAGTGACGCATTACTTAACCACATACATTAACTTCTGCCAAATGCGAGAGTATTGTTGATGCTCAAAGTGGCCAGTCGATTTAGTCAGGTATATTCTTACCAATGTACGGGAGGTGGGAATACCATGTTCATCTGTATTGATAGGTGCCTGCATCTGTAAAGATAACAGGCTGGGTAAAGGAGTCGGAGATGCTTCCGCTGGTTTTGTGCCCTTTTCAAATGCTTATTTTCAGTAAAAACCTGATTTCCTGTTTTAATAAAACTGCACCTGGTTAACATTCTTAAATACGTCAAGGGAATACTATTTAATTTCAAAGAAAGCATAAAATAATTGTTCTTATTACACCGTCTGTATGTAATTATGATAAATCTAAATGCATTTTAGCATAAACCTGATATATAATCTAACAGTGCAATTTCAAGTCAGTTCAATTTTCTGTTGCATTCAAAGCAGAAACTCTCATGTTATACAGCAGTTATTTCAATTGTTTAGGCATCAGAGCTTGATATGATTGCACTGGTTTAGTAAACAATGCTCTGTGGGAATGATGGGGGTATTGACTGGGTTTTTGTGTACAGGAATGAGGGAAAGGATGAGTTTATATATGCATGTGTGCATTGCAGACATATATAGGTGTGAGATGTGTGTTGAGATATATATAAGCATGGAGTCTGTAAAGATGAGCATGTGCGTGTAAGTGTGTGTGTGGGCGTTCTTATCTGTGCAAATATAGGCGCAAGAGGAACAAGCATTAATTACGTCCATATAGGAATTATATAACATTTCGAGCACCCATTGTCAGATGGCCAAATTGAAACACAGTCTTATAATTTGATTGATAAATAGCCTTCGAGTTAGATGTTACATAACAATTCAAGATCTATATGATTTAAAACTGCATGGAAACACATCTCATTTATCTAACTGCAAGGCTCATTGAACAAATATGCTCCCGTTAACTAGTTTGAGTGGGATTGCCCACAAGTTGTAATACTTCAAGTGCAGTTGGGTCCTTCAAATATCAGTTCTTTAGGATTACTACTTAATGGTTTTAGTTTCTAGTCTAAAGATACAGAGATAACACAGTGTGGAGCTGGAGGAACACAGCAGGCCAGGCAGCATCAGAGGAGTAGGAAAGTTGACGTTTCGGATCAGGACCCTTCTTCAGAAAGTAGTTTATTTAAAGGCTGACATGAGGAGAAATATCTTCACCCTGAGGCCGGTGAGCCTGTCGAATTCTCTGCCACAGAATGTAGTTGAGGCTGAAAAATTGAATATTTTCAAGGTGGAGGTACATATTGTTGTAAAAGCTACATGGAGCAGAGTATGGGGGAGAAAGCTGCAACAAGG